GAGAGCGGGGCACCTGGCGGCTGCGCGTGCGCCGGGCTTCAGCACTGTGGCCGATGACGTCGAACACAACGCCTCTCGATGTCGGCTCCCGTGCGAACTGGCGCTTCGAAGTTGGTGCGCCAGATGCCCTCGCGTGCCCCGTGCAGGGTGGGCCGCTTGGGCACGAAATGTCTAGGAGGAGGAGGAGGAGGAGGAGGAGGAGGAGGAGGAGGAGGTCGAGGAGGAGGGTGAACAGAAGCAGCGAACATATTGGAAGACGTGCAGCACTGGGGTGAAAGCGAGAGACGAGCACATGGAAAAGTGGAGGGGCACAGTCGAGCACAGAATGATAGACCGACCGATCGTGACCACAGGCCTCGGGATGGGTCAAGAGTCAAGACCAAGGGGAGACCCATCACCAGGCCTAGGAGGATATTGCATACGAGGAGGGATTTTGGGCGTACGTTGAGCAGGAGGAAAGTGAGGATGATGATGAGGAGTAGGATGAGAACCAGTGTGTGTGTGTGTGCGTAAACCCAAGATGCATCAACGATGTTGAAACAAACCCTCCCTCCAAGTTCCCATTTCAGAGGTCCCTGCAAACATCGATTTTTGTTGCGGGAAGTGCCCCGTTGGAAGACAAGCGTCTGAGAACTGTCACTCGTGCCAAAACACGCTTGCTGGCTCTTCAACGCCGCGAATCAATCAATGAGGGTGTTGCGTCCATACGAATCAAAGTTAAGCCGAATGTGTGCGCCAAAGAAAGAGCCGCATTTTGACCCCCCCTCCATCCATGAAGCTAGTACAGAGTCAAACTTCATGATCACAAATGGTGACGACGTGTCAAGCGAAACGCCGGGCCCGCCTGATGGACAAGCCTGGAACCGCGATCGGGAAGAGTTAGATCGGGAGATAAAGGAGGAGGGATGGAGGAGGAGGAGGGGGAGGAGGAGGGAGGAGGAGGAGGAGGAGGAGGAGGAGGAGGAGGAGGAGGAGGAGGAGGAGGGATGGAGGAGGAGGAAGAGCAGGAGGTCGATGCTCTCCCCCCTGGCGCCCCTGCAGGCGCTGCAAGACGGAGCGAAGGCGTTCCACGGCCGTGCCCGGGTACTGCACGTCCACCTCCCGCGCGCTTGGGGTTCCCCTCTCCCCCTCCCTCTCCCTCTCCCTCTCTCTTTCCCCTCTCCCTCCCTCCCTCCCTCTCTTCTCCCCCTCCCTCCCTCCCTCCCTCCCTCCCTCCCCTCTCCCTTTCTTCTCCCCCTCCCTTCCCCTCCCTCTCCCTCTCCCTCTCTCTTTCCCTTTCTCTTTCTACCTCTCTCTCTCTCTGTCTCTGTCTGTCTCTCTCTCCCCGGCGTGGACTCGAGCTGCCTCGTGGAGCGGACGTAGCCGCCGGGTGCCCACCTCCTGGGGCCGTCCTTCAATCCCCACGGCCAGGCTGTACTCGCTTGCCTTCAGCGCGAAACTGAAAGGTACAGCTTTTCGGTGATCTTCTGATCCGGGTCAATCAAGACCCGGGTCAGCAGGAAACCCAAAAACTGGAATGCAAGACAAAAAAAAATGCAACGCAGGTCTTCGCAAACCCGGGTCCACCAGTATGCGCGGCCCCCTCGCGGCCACGAGCGGCTCGCTGACCCGGGTCAGCCACAGGGGGGTCCTCGCAGGGTCCTGCAGGATCCGGTGCCCTGGCTGCCCCCCGGTTGCATTGACCCCCGTCTCTTGGGCCCCGAGCTTTCGTCCCTCCTGCCCCGCCGGCCGCGCCGTGGCCCCGCGCGCGTCCAGGGGCTACCTCGCCGTCGGCGTCGGCGAGTCGACCCTCATCGGTGACTTCTGCCCTGTGCGCGTGCCGTTCTTCGACCCCCTCCCAGCTTCTCTACGCAGCGGTCGTCGTGTCGATCCACGCCGCCCCACGCAGTTTCCGAGGGCGCACGCACCCTGCGGAGTCCCAGACGACGTCCGCGGCGACGTGCGCCTGCATCGGCCCCTGGTTTCCCGGAGCCCAGGAGGATCACAAGAAAACGTCCACCGTGACGTGCTTCTGCACGAGCTCCGTGCTGACCTTCAAGCCCTCCGTGTGCAAGCCCACGCGCTCCTGCAGGAGCTGAGCACGGCTCTGAGAGCTCTTGGCGTCGTCTCCGCCGCTGCGCGCCCTGCAGCCCCCGCCAGTCAGCCAGCCAGCCTCCGCTGGGGCCGCTTCGCCTGCGCCCGCGGTGCCCACGACCCGCCAGCCGAGGCTGCGTTCCAGGCCTCTCCCCACCCCCCGGCCCGCGCAGGCCACAGGCACGCGGGGGTCCGCGACCGACGGCGACGACGGCGAGGGCGACGAGGAGGACACCCACCTCACCCGCCCTCGCCCGCCAGCCGTCACCACCCCAGCAAGCACGGCCAGCCGCCCTCCGCTGCTCGGCGGCGAGCGAGGGGGAGAAGCGAGGAGGGGCGGGCCTCCTCAGAAGGCTCGGAAATCCCCCGGCCTTCCGACACGTTCTCTGAGCCTTCCCCGAAGACACGGGAACAACACTTCTCAGAAGGCGCAAAGGGGCTGCTGAGGAGTGCCTCCGCCTTCTGAGAAGGCCTTCTCCCTCTCATCTCCCCCCCTGGGCGCGCTGCCGTGTTCGGCCTTTGGGTCATAACTCGGGTCTCCGGCCGCCGTTCGGGACGATCCCGGCACCCCCAGAACGCCCTCGCCGAGGCGCTGCTGCTGGAACGCATCCCGAGGCTGGAGAGCCGTCGAGAGCCGAAGGACATGCCCGACAACCTCACCGCCGAGCGGAGTCCTGAGCGTGCAGACCGGTACGCGCTCCCAGGAGGAGGAGGAGGAGGAGGAGGAGGAGGAGGAGGAGGAGGAGGAGGAGGAGGAGGAGGAGGAGGAGGAGGGAGAGGAGGAGGAGGAGGAGAGGAGGAGGAGGAGGAGGGGAGGAGGAGGAGGAGGAGGGAGGAGGAGGAGGAGGGAGGAGGAGGGGGAGGAGGAGGCGGAGGAGGAGGAGGAGGAGGAGGAGGAGGAGGAGGAGGAGGAGGAGGAGGAGGAGGAGGAGGAGGAGGAGGAGGAGGGAGGAGGAAGGAGGAGGAGGAAGGAGGAGGAGGAGGAGGAGGAGGAGGGGAGGAGGAGGGGAGGGGAGGAGGGAGGAGGAGGAGGAGGAGGAGGAGGAGGAGAGGAGGAGGAGGAGGGAGGAGGAAGGGGAGGAGGAGGAGGAGGAGGGGAGGAGGAGGAGGAGGAGGGAGGAGGAGGAGGAGGGAGGAGGAGGAGGAGGAGGAGGAGGAGAGGAGGTGGGGGAGGAGGAGGAGGGAGGCTCTGCCAGGCCGTCGCCCATGCCGCTGCCTCTGGCTGAGCGCCAGTCCCAGGCCGAACGGAGGCCGAGGCGCCGCTAGTTAATGAGGGGGACGGCGATGACGATGACATCTGCCCCACATCGCCAGACTCAGTCGCCCAGCATCCCTGGGGCCGCAGCCCGCGGCGCCAGGCTCAATGGACCGCCAACCCCGTCTCGCTGCAGCCCTGCTGCGCCAAAGCCGCAACCTCACGGCCGTCACGCTGCCAACCACCCGCCGTTCCGGCCACTCATCCGTGCTGGAACTGCCGTCGCGGTCATCAACCGAGGTTCCAACCCTATCAGCGGCCTCCGAGGCACGGGCTGCTGGCGAACACCGGGCTGTCACGCTGTGCAGCTGGAAGGCCGTCTTGTGGCCATCCGGCCCGTCCGTCGGCCTCGACGTTAGCGACCTCCTGACGGGAGGGGACGATGACGGCCCTCCACACAGCTGGGCCGAGAATATAGGCTGGGGAGAAGGAGGAGGAGGAGGAGGAGGGGGAGGAGGTGGAGGAGGAGGAGGGGGAGGAGGAGGGGGAGCAGGAGGAGGGGGAGGAGGAGGAGGGGAGGAGGGAGGAGGAGGAGGAGGGAGGAGGAGGAGGAGGAGGAGGAGGAGGAGGAGGGAGGCTCTGCCGGGCCGTCGCGAACCCAACGCACCAACGACCACGACGCCGACGCTCTCAAAACCGAGGCCGAGGGGGCGGCCACATCTCGCCCGCGCGCTGCGGCCACGGCTCCCTGCCGTGGGTCACGGGCAGGGGTCGCCATTTGCGGGCCTCGGCTGCGCCGCCGCCTCCCGCAGTTCCGCCCGTCGCGGCATTGCAGGTTCGTTTCTGCTTTTTTGGCGCTGCCTCGCACCTGTACTTTTCCGAGGCGGCGCCGCCGTCGATCCGGCCGTTGGAGGGACCCCCGATGCCTGCCCTCGGCGACGCCGCTGGCCGCCCAGATGCACGTGCGGCTTCCTGCGCAGGCCGTGCCCGAAGGGAACCGCCCTCCCGCCGGGGGGGGCAACCCCCCGCAGGGTGCTGAGGTGGTGGCATGGCTCACGCGCCTCCCTCCTCTCCTCCTCTCCTCCTCCTCTCCTCTCCTCCTCCTCCTCCTCCTCTCCTCTCCTCTCCTCTCCTCCTCCTCTCCTCTCCACCTCCTCTCCTCTCCTCCTCCTCTCCTCTCCTCCTCCTCTCCTCTCCTGAGGTGGTCCCCTCCTCTCCTCGCTGGCAGCGCCTGTGGGCGCTGCTGGCCTGGTGGTGGAGGGATCTGGGGGCGACCGTGCCCTCTGGCACGGTCGCTGGCGCCTGGGTCCTGCCGCCCCTTCTGTGCGAGGCGTTCCCCCGGCGCCTGCGCTCCTGCTGCCTCTTCACCCCCGCAAGGCAAGGCTTTGGTAAGAACCAACAATATTCGAACATATTCAAAAATATCAAGTGGAGGACATAGAAATAATCAACCACATTCAATAATGATCAAACACAAACAACTTCAACAACAGTCCCCTGACTGTTTGTTTGACTATTTTTGAATATTCGTCCCGTAGAGGGACACGCCCGTCTTAAGGCAAGGCCGTGCTTTTTCACCTTCCACTGGCCCCGTTTCCTGCCTGGCACGCTCGTCACGGGAACGCCCGCGCAAGGGTGGGTACCTCCTCGGCTGCGCCACCCCCACCGTCGAACAGTGTGGGGGGGGGGAGGCTCGGCGGCGGGGGCCCAGACAAGCCACGCGAGGAGGAGGAGGATGAGGAGGAGGAGGAGGAGGATGAGGTGGGGAAGGAGGAGGAGGAAGAGGAGGAGGAGAAGGAGGAGGTGGGGGAGGAGGACGATGAGGATGAGGAAGAGAAAAAATAGGAGGAGGAGGAGAATAGACGAATAAGACGGACGGAGAGAGTCGGAGTCGCAGGAGGAGGAGGAGGAGGATAAAACTACTCATGAGTATGGATGATGATGATGATGCTGATACTGGGGATGATTATGATGCTGCTGCTGATGAGGATGAGGACGAGGGGGAAGAGGAAAATGAGGAGGAAAGGAGGAGGAGGACGAGGAGCAAGAGGGAGATGATGATGAGGAGGAGGAGGAGAAGGAGGAGGAGGAGGAGGAGGAGGAGGAGGAAGAGGAGGAATGAGAGGAGGAGGAGGACAGGGGGGAGGAGGAAGCGGGGGAGGATGAGGAGGATAAGGAGAAGGAGGAGGAGAAGGGGGAGGGGGAGGATGAACAAGCTATGCGCGCTCGCGTCATATCTGACATCCTACCCCTCCCGCCCAGCCCTTACCATGGCTTAGATCCCCTCTCTACTCGCACAGTCGGATGTCGAGCAAGGCAATGATCCCGAAAGGGTACGCGATGCATTGTAGAGCACGGCATGGCATGGCGTAGAAGAGCACCGCAAAGCGTAGCATCAACCTAGCATTGCATTGCATGCCGTGGCATGGCACGGGAAATGACGCCAACGCTGCAGCGGGAGCACGAATCGAAACGAGCGGAAACGCGGAAATGAGGCCAACGCTGCAGCGGGAGCACGATTCGGAACGAGCGGAAGGACGGACATGAGGCCAGCGCTGCAGCGGGAGCACGATTCGGAACGAGCGGGGCCCGAAAATGAGGCCAGCGCCTCAGCGAGAACAACAGTTTGAACACAATGCAGGCGAAACACCAACTCAAGGGAACCCTGTGTGTAAAAACAATACGCGGGGGGGGGGGTCAAGCACTTTCAAACCGTCATCAGGGGAAGAGGGAGAGTAGTATTCATATTGAGTAATTGTGGAGGGGGAGGAGGAGGATGAGGAGGAGGAGGAGAGGAGGAGGAGGAGGAGGGGGAGGAAGAGAAGGAGGAAGGAGGAGAGGAGGAGGAGGAGGAGGGGAGGAGGAAGATGAGGAGGAGGCGGAGGCGGAGGCGAGGAGGAGGGAAGAGGAGGAAGGAGGAGGAGGAAGAAAGAAGAAGGAGGAGGAGGAGAAGGAGGAGGGGGAGGAGAGGAGAGGGTGGAGGAGAGGGAGGAGGAGAGGGAGGAGGAAGAGGAAAAGGAGGAGGAGGGGGAGGAGGAGGAGGAGGCGGAGGCGGAGGAGGCGGAGGAGGCGGAGGAGGAGGAGGAGGAGGAGGAGGAGCAGGAGCAGGCGGAGGAGGATGAGGAGGCCGAGGAGGAGGAGGAATCTCTGGAGTCTCTGCCTGATCGCGTAGCGGTATGAGAAATTAGACTTCCGCCACCACAGCGGGGGTGTTGTGAGCTCTGGTGGCCTTCTCAGCTCGACTGAGGGCCTTCGGCCAGAGCCCCTTGGAAATACGCTTGAGGTATTCCTGCCCCGCGGGGGTGAGCTTACCGCAAGGTTCCCCGAGTTTCCCGAGAACCAGCTGGGCATAAGCCCCACACCTGACACAGAACCGCAAATTCAGCCCAGCGTGGAACCGAGAAGGGTGGCTGCTGTGAACACCCCCCCCCCCGCGACATGGACCGACTTCCCACGAGGGGCCTCCTTATAAGTGCCGTCTACATTAAGAAGCTCTAAACATTCCGAAAGGAGCCAGCGAGACCTCGAAGCCTTGTTGGAGGAACTAAAACACCTAGTACATTGAGAGCCTGTGGGGTCAACAGAGTGTTGGGACCCAAAGGGTGCACAAGAACGATGGACAAGCGGTCGGTCGGTCTAAGACGCTACCGGCCTCTTAGGGCGTTGCTCCCTCTGACACTGAA